ATTTTACTTTTCAGTTTCATAGTATTTATATATAATTTTTTTAGCCAATCAAAATTGATTATCAGGTGGGGGGTGGGGGTCGGCCTTATAATAAAGTGAAATCAGCTGATTTCTGAAATGCCCCTAAGCATACATCACATGTTTGTATCCAATTTTCAATAGTTTTGTACATACTTGGCCAATAATATTGAGAAGCAATCTTGTTATACGTAATATCTCTTACTAAATGTCATCCTAAATATTTCATTATAGATATTATGTAGAATACGTTCGACTTCTTTTGATTTTACTATAAGTAATAATTGAGCGGATTGTTTGCGATTACGTCTATAAAGTTGTTGGTTTTGTATGAAATAATGTTGTGCCTGTTTTTGAATTGCGAGTTGTTGTGATGAAGTAAGATTTGGAGGGTATGTAAGTTGGGTAAGATATCGAAATAATTGATGATAAGTTTCGAATTCCATATTGTTAAGCTGCTAGTCATACTGCTAACACTTTCGCTTTCACTCTAAAAATTTTAATAATTAATTAATTTACTGTAAAGGAAGTCGAGACAATGCGTTTGCGTTTGAGTGTAATTTTCCTTTTTTATATCGAATCTGATAAGGGAATTCCATTATACGAATAATCCATCTTATAAATTTGTGAGGTGGATCTGATTTATTAAAAAGCCATTGTAAGGCTGCGTGGTCAGTAATTAATTCAAACTGCTGATATAATAAATAAGGTTGAAAATGTTCTATTTCCCATACAGCAGCAAGACATTCTAATTCAGTTAGAGCATAGTTTTGTTCAGCACCACTTATACTTCGACTAGCATAAGCAATAACACGTTCCTTATTATTATCATCCAATTATGCTAACACTGCTCCAAGTCCAATATAAAATCCGTTAGTAAATAATAAGAATTTCTGTTTGAAGTCAGGATATATTAAGACTAGTACAGTAGTTAAACAAACTTTCAAATGTTCTAATGTTTTTTGCTGTGATTCAGTCTAAATATAAAGTGTGTCTTTCCGTAATAATAAATGTAGAGGTGCAGCTGACGTAAAGAAGTCTTGAATAAATCTCCTGTAATAAGATGTGAGGCCTAAAAATCCTCAGAGTTCAGTAATATTCTTTGGAATAGGAAAATTCTTGATTTTGTCAATTTTGGAAGGATCAGGGGAAATTCCTTGTCCACTAACAATATGTCCCAAGAATGCTAATTCTAACTTAGTAAAATCACATTTATCTTTTCCAAGCTTTAATCCAGTGTCCTTTAATCTTTTAAAAATTAATTGCAAATGCTGTATGTATTCATCGAAGGTAGTTGAGAAAATGATAATGTCGTCAAGATATACAGCTACAAATTGTCCAATTTCTTCTCTAAAGATTTTGTTCATCAGACGTTGAAAGATCGTAGGGGCATTTGTTAATCCGAATGGCATGACTTTAAATTCGTAAAGTTCTTAACTAGTTATAAATGCTGTTTTGGCTTGATCATTTGGGTCCATAGCAACCTGCCAATATCCGCTTGCTAAATCTAATGTTGAAAAATACTTTGCTTTTCCAAACATATCAAGCAATTCATCAATATGAGGTAAAGGATGTCTATCCCGTTGAGTGACACTGTTCAGTTTCCTATAATTGATACAAAATCGAAGTTTCCCATTCTTTTTTCTTATTAGAATGACGGGTGAGACCTAAGGGCTTTCAGAACATTGAATTAAATTATGTTCCAACATTCTATCAACTTCTTCTTTAATAAATTCTTATTTCAAGAAAGCTACTTGATATGCGCGCTGTCGTATTGGCATCGGATTTTCTACTGGGATGTGATGATTTTTTATTGTGATATGTCCCAATTGAGATAGGTCATTAGCAAATGTATTTTCATTTTTATCAAGGAATCTGGTGATTTGTAGTTGCTGGTGCTCATTCAAATGTGAGTATGTATTTGCTTGAATTGGTGGCTCATCAGGAATGTTTCGCAATAATTGCCAATGATCCCATTCCTTTTTGCAAAGTTGGCAAATATCATCATTTTTATTTAATTTGTTATGACACTAACATCGATTTCCTGGTCCTTGTCAATTGAATTTCCACTTAGCTTCTTTAGGTGGTTGAACTTCAAATTTTTGTTTTAGACTTTCAAAGTATTGGGGTGAATACTTTTGTCCTTCTACAGAAATTTGTTTGGGATTACTTTCAGCCAAAGGAGTTAAATCATCTTAGTCTCCAAATACTACATAATGTCGTTGGGCTATTAATTCCTCATCCTCATATTCTTCATTATCATCGACTAATTTATTGGTAACAACTACTGGTTGTTGGAAATGGTCAAATTGTGGTTTTTCCCAACAAGTCATTGGTATTTGATGTTCTCTACTATTCCAATAAAATGTAAATTTTCGACAGTCCCAATAAAGTCATCTTCGGCATTTTAAAAGCCAGTCATTTCCTGCTACAATGTAATAATCAGTTGATTCAGTGATATCTACATTAATTGGAATTTCTATTTCATTTAATTGTAAGGGAATATTCATAACTCATCCTAGAGGTCAATATTGTCCACCTTGTATATTAATCATTGTTATTGTAGATGCGGATTCAATTTTCCGTCCTAATTGTTGCAAAAATGCTTTAGACATTACACTTCCTGCTGATCCAGAATCTAATATTAAATAAATTGGTTTATTGTATACCGTGATACTACAATAAATGGCTTCAACTGCTTTTGGTGGTTCTAAGGGTTTATATATTCATTGGTACGCTCATTCTCTAAAGGTACCATCAATAGTTAAAGACTGCGATGAAGATGAGAAGGTATTATTATTAGTTACTGGTGGCGGATTTGATACTGGAAAGGTCATTGACGTTTGAGAGGAAGGTATGAATGTTAAATTATATATCAGCATGGTTTGAGAGAGTGCAGCAAGTTGTCCATTATTAACATTATTATACCCATTCGATGTATTCCGATTGGTATTACTAGTATTATTATTTCTATTTGAGCACAATCTTCCCCAATGTCCAAACTGATTGCAGAAAGGATATAGTTCTCTGGATACGCTGTTATAGTGTCTAGCTATATGTCCTATCTGTTGGCAAGTATGACAACTAACTCCTACGTTTGAGGTATTACTTGGAGGATATCAGTTGTTTCCTCTATTATTTTAGTTATTTTGGAAATTTCTTTGTTGAGTACAGTTCCTAGCAAAATGCCCAGTTTGTCAACAGTTATAACAATTTGAGGTGCTTTGATTATTATTGTTACGATTACTATTATTATTACCACTATTATAACTATTGGTATTATTATTATTTCTTCAGTTATTATTGGTATTTGCAGGGTGAGGAGGTGTAATTAGAGGTTGTGGAGTAGTGTTAGAGGTAGTTAGAAGTTGTTTGAATACTTTTAGTAACTTTTTATTATTTCTATCGATAAGTTGTTGCATGTTTGGGGCAGTATTGAAGGTTTCAGGAGTATCATCCTCATTCTGTGTTAAATATGCTTTGCTTAAGAAGTAACCTAAAAGTGTACTATCTTTGGATAATACTGCTTCAACAGTTCAGTCTTGATCAATAGCTTCTCTAAGTTACATGATGTAGCAGCAGCAATTGCGGTATGAAATTCAGGTCAAAGTTTTTGTAGAAATTATTCAATCTTTTCATCCTCAGGTGTGTTATAATCTGGGTCTAATTTAAGTTATAACGACTCGATATTGGTAGCATAATTCTCAACTAATTGTCTGAGACGTTGTTTACATCACCTAAGTGCAGAACGCCATTGCGTTTGTCGGTGAGTAATGCAATAATGTTTCAAAAAGTGATAGACAAAGGATCGATGCTTATGTTGTCAGTCAGTTTGGTTATCCCAGTATCGCAAATCTTTTTCATTTTTGGTTTTATTATACTAGGTAAGGGCTGAGGCTTTTAAGAATGATAGTATTAGAGTAAGACGTCTCTTATCTGAGATGCCATTTGCGTTGCCTGTGTTATTATATCTTTTCAACCAATCACGAGGGTCCTGGTCTCCACCTTTAAAGGAATAAAGATCCACAAATTTACCTTCACGTTGTCCGCCCAATCCAACATTTTTGAAAATAGTAGTCAGTCCTTTCATCATCTAGAAGAGGTTAAGTTAACTTTGACTGGTCGCATTATTTTCATCGAAAGGATCATTCTCAAATTCATTATCATCGGAACTATTATGTTCTGATTCAGAGCTAGATGATAAAGATGAACTATCATAATAAGAAGGGGAATAATGAGTTCTCCTCTTTTTGTCTGACTTTTTCTTTTTAGGCTGACTTTGAGATGGAGGTGATCCTGATTTAGATGAATTAGACTTATTGGAATCTTTTGACTAGAAGTTGTTCCTTTATTTTTCGATCCAGACGGAGTTGGTTCAGATTGTTCAGTTTCTGATGAAGTTTTGTTAGATTTTCTTATACCTGAAGGCAGTTGGTTGGCTTGTCCTATTCTGGAGGAAGATTGCTTAGTTTTCCCAGTTCCAGAGAGAGGTAGATTAGTTTGTCCAGTTCCCGAAGGGAGTGGATTATTTTGTTTAGTTCCAGAAGGAGGTGGAGTATTTTGATTTCTATAGTTTTCAAAGCTTCCATAATCGAATGTAGATTCATGAAAATCCACATGTCTACTTCCGCTAGAAATAACTTGTGTTATAATAACGTCGTCTGGTGGATAGCTTTCATCATAATCTCTAGTGTCATCTTCAGAAAGAGAACGGTTGTCTTCAGTTGTATCTAATAGTTCTGGAGGGCTTGTGGCCTAACAGTTTCGGTAGTTGATTCTTTTGGCCTAGTCATTGTAGTTGTTCTCAAAATAACTAGTGAAAGTGAGGAGGTATGCTTGATGTAGGAGTTTTAAAGTATTCAGAAATAGTGCTTCCAGGATTCTTGTTAAATGCGTTAATCTGACGATGCGTTTGTACTACTAAATTAATAGCTTGGTTAAAAGTGTAAGAAGATAGTTTATTATACATAAAGGAGTATAATATACATCGATAATAAAGTATTTGTAACTCTATAGTTGGTGAATTATTAGCTGAATCAAACTCAGTTATAATTTTGCTAGTATATTGTCGAGCTCCAAGTATAAGACAAGCTCACTTAAGAAAGACACGAAAGGCAAGAGTTTGCTCTGATGGAATGGATGGAGGATAACAAATAATACATGATGCGTCATCTACAAAGGTGATCTTTAGTTGGTTGTTTCATTCTTTTGATAAATGTTGTGCGTAATGTGTTTGCTGAATTTCAAATAAGTTCTCAAAGGTATTCATGTAGTATTCTCATAGGGTATTACTAC